TCTATTTTCATTCAGTTCAGTTTGGACACAGAAAGTCATTTAAGTAAACAACATAGTTCCTCCTTATTTTAGCTGCACATGGGACCAATTAACTAATTGGTCATTAGGCATGTTTTTCTTTTTTGTTGGAACGATAGTTGCAATTTCACTCGTAATAATTTGAAACAGACAACTGTCTCTTTTTTTTTTTCGTCAGCAAATCACGTATTGGCCCATAGCTTTCCCGCCTTTGTGTTTATGCGTGAATGGGTTAGTGTCACGTGGCTGAAGTGCATGCCATGAACAGCCTGGTTTTATTTCCGTTATTGTAATTAGGTATTTAAAGTTAAGTAGATTTTTGGTAATGTTTTTCAAAGTTTTAGATTAATTAAGATTATAGAATTGAGATTGTTGGATTTAAAGTCTACTTTGAGCTTTAAAGTTTTTTTAATTGTAGGGTTGTTTTTCATGTAGTTTACGGGACTCATAATGAACTGATGAGAAAGAGTCAATGAAGGTTTTGTTAAACATTTTCTTCCCCTTACTTGTCCTTGTTTGTTTCTGTAATTGTGTTTGCTGTTAATAAAGATGGCTGTTTTGTGCATTTTATGTGCAGACTTTTTCTTTGAGATGAACTTAATCAGAGTTGAGAGAGACATGAAATCAAACTCTGTAACTTAGTATTCATTGGACTCTATTTTGCAGACCCTACCATTTACTCCTCTGGAAATCTATGCACCAGAGAATACTACACAGTTCGAAATTAAAGACAAATTGTATCCACAATCCTAGATTAGTGATATCTATTATATTCAATAAAGATTAATTCGTAGCTTATATCAACTTGTACAACTCTCTGCACCACCCTTTCTTTAGGGAATAATCGACTATCCAGTTTTGCAATGATACAAAAGCATGGTCAAGCAAGAATAATTTATATTGAATGGCCACTATTGTATGCAACCTTAATACCAGGCAAGGATTAATTCAACTTTATGACTATTTATCCTGTCAACAAGAATGTTAACTAACTGCAAAATGCCTGCATGAAAAAAATTTAAAAATTACACGAACATACTTTAATGAAAATATATTATTTTCTTGTCATAGAAGGCTAAAGTAATTTTCAATGATATGCCCTCCTCTTGCTTATCTCAGGAGCTTCCTAGGCCCGAACCTTAGAATTTGAGTTAATTAGGATTAAATAACCAAATTCAAACAACTAACTAACATAGCTATTATTTATAGGAGTCACTACTTACACAACACCATGATGGTATGATGCTCATTCTTGAACAATGAGAAATTTTATTATATATAAACAGGTCTAGCAGCCAACAAACTAAATAAGTCATAAATTTCACTAAAACTGAACATAAAGTAGAAAACAATTTAGAATTAAATGTTATTATCTGAATTAAACGCAAAGCCAAAAATTGAACACAGTACAAAATGAATCAGATTTAAACAAATCACAGGGTAAACTGAAGATATAAACTCAAAATGAATTTGATTAAACTGAAAATAGTTAAATAATTGAAGTCAAATCAAACTCATAGTTAAGATCAAAACAACAATACTTAATAAGTCATCTCTACACTCAAAATAGTGAGCTACAATAAATAGAAATATAAATAAAACTCAAAATAAGAAAATAAACTAGATAAACCTCCAATGTACACAGCGTGGTCACAAGTAAATAGGCACCACCTTTTCAGAAAAAATGAAAACT